ACTTTAACATAATTCTATTGCCTTCAAACATGTGTAATAATTACTTATATGTTTATCTGTAAATAGTGTAATGGACTCAATATCTCAAAACCAGATAATACATTTGAGTCATTCAAACTGTTATCAAACATAAGTCACTAGAGAATCAATTCAATCAATGGAGAAATTTTCTAATTATCATATTAATTATTTATGAGTAAAAGGTGATTCCAAAGTACTCTGGGAAACTTGAAGACATATTAGTTTCTTTTCATTCTATGTATTTCTATGAAATATTTTTACACTATTAATTTCCAATAATCTAGGGAATAAGGTCTTGTTAATCAAAGGAAAACTTCAGCCCAGCTTTTGCACTAATTATCACATATTCTAAATTGGTAGAATCTGAATTAATGAGGCCCAGACTCCTCCTAAATGGCATGCATTAAACAAAACCTGGGCTTAACTATGTACTCTTGTGAATAGAAGTATATATGCATATTGGCTCCCAGGCAAATAAATTTTCCAAGTGTGCAATTATCAATGCTATCTGTGTCTGGCCCCACTATCCATAAACATCTTAATTACCTTCTACTCATCACTAAAGTAAGGCCTCTGCAAAGATTCAACCATTTTTCTTGACCAACCACTTTTGCATATCAAATTTTAGAACATTCAATCACCTATAGAAAATATTAATAGTTCCTCCCCTAAAAAAAAGTAGATCCCAACAAAAAGAAAAAGTAAAGACATAGTCTATCAAATAGTCTTTTAAATCCATTGCTAAACTGTCATTAGACTGTAATTAGGTAGTTCAATTTTTATTTTTATAGAGTTGTTTATTTTCCAACCGATTTCCTCTTAATGCCAAGAGGGACTGCAGGGTGAGGGTGGGAGAGCAAAAAGACACAGTATCTTCTTTCTTTTGTTTTTATCCCCCTTTCCACTGTCCAATCTTCTGGTTCTTTCCTGACTGAATAACCATGCCTGCTATTTTAAATTTAGTATCTGGACATGTCCTTTCTTCTTTGTCCTTTCCATTTACTCCCTGACATCTACAAAATGAGCCACCACCTCTGATTACTAGTTGCCATGTGGTTCTCCTGTATTTTGACTGCTCAGAAATCAACAGCTTCCCACATTTTTCAAAGTTGTGCTACTTCTGGGCCCTTTCTTTCCTTTGCTTGAATTCATGACCACTCAGCACTTTAATAATCCTGGAGGGGTTTGCATTTAAGGCCATGCTTGAAGGATTCTATTTTTTTTTTCATTTCATGTTTTTAGATTAAGTAAAATCGAAAATACAGGCATTGTTTTAGGTTTTTGTTTTGTTGTTTTGTTTTGTTTGCCTGTTGCTTATAACATAAAACCTGAAGCTGGGTAATTTACAAAGAAAAGGAATTTATTTCTTACAGTCATGGAGGTTGAGAAGTCCAAGGGCAAGGGGCTGCACCTGGTGAGGGCCTTCTTGCTGGGGGTGGGGTACTCTGCAGAGTCCCGAGGCAATGCAGGGTATCACATGTTGAGGGGCTCAGCGTGCTAACATGCTACTCAGGTTTCTCTTCATCTTCTTATAAAGCCACCAGCCCCACTCCCATGATAGCCCATTAATCCATTAATCCATTAATCTATAAATGGACTAATCCATTCATGAAGGCTTTGCCCTCATGACCCCATCACCTCTTAAAGGCTCTACCTCTCAATACTGCCACATTGGAGATTAAATTTCAACATGAGTTTTGGAGGGGACAGATATTCACCATAGCAGATATCATTCATTTTAGCTTATCCACTTCTTATCTGATATAACATTAGAATAATGTCAGTATGTTAATTACCAGTACCATTTTGACAAGGGCAAAATTACTAAATTGAAGTTATTTCTGATTTTTTTCACCTGAATAAAGCAAAGATGATTTTTAAAACTTTAACATAATAAAATGGAAAGAAAAAAATATGTAGATTCTAAGAATGAATCCATCCTCCAGTGAACTTTCTTTTCTGCCCATATTCCCCTTCATGCAAGCCCTGGAGATAAGGCATAAAGTATCCCTGCCATTTCTGTTTCTATAGAATTACTGTTCAATACTGAAGTCAACACACACACACACAAATGATTAGTGTATGTATGAATTCTGATTTCTAAAGTGCATCTGTTCTTTAATTTTAAGAGACTTTGATTTGCTTGGAAATATTTTCTGAATGATAAAAAAGCATTTAGGCCTAAGAGGGAAGTATGCTATCTTCTGCAGACTTTTGCAGTGTGATATGGATGGATTCTACACATGCAATACAAATAGGAATAACAATAATAATTAGTAATAATAACAGCTAATACTTATTCATACCTTACTAAGTGCCAGGCACTGTTCTACGTGGTTTGCACATAAGGCTTCATTTAATCCTTACAGCACCCTATGAGGTATTAATAGGTACTGTAATTGTGTCCATTTACAGAAGAAGAAATTGAGGTACAATGAGATAAAACAATTTCCCCAAGGTCAAAGAGACTGTGTTGCAGAGGCTACATTAAACCCAGGCAGTCTGGCTCCAGCATTGATGACCTTTACCACTATACAATCCTGCCTATTAAGAAGTATTAAATGAGAATTGCTAAGTTATGGATTCAACAATTTAGAGGGTTTTCTAATTTCAAAAAATCTATAGAATTACAGGGAGAAACCTATCTGTCTAAAAAACTAACACAAATCTTCATAGATCATAGTAATTCAATTTTGCATATTAAGTTTTTAACAAGGACACACCCTGTCAAGTTGATACAAAAGGATCTGGGTTGTAGCAAAACTAGATGTTATAGTATCCTTAGAAATACCGCTTAAATTTGTATCACTTTAAAAGCTCATTACCAAGTAAGAAAAAAAAATGAAATACTTGACATTTTGGTATCTGTGATATTAAAAAGAACTAATATTTAATAATCAAGTGGCAACAGCTTGTGGAGTTTGCACACAACACCCACAGGGATCTGTTTTTCTTTAAAATGGCCCTTAGGAGTCTGCCTTTTAAACAGCTGACACCTCCATTCTCCGAATCCCTCTTTTCTGCCAGCACCATGGGGTGCTCACGGAGGGCAGCAGCAGACATGTAATTCTTCACCGCAGGATTTGTCTTGGCAAATAATGGAGAATGTGGGAAATTAAGAAAAATGTAATTTCCACGGAATCAACCTCAGTGTAATCTCTATTACTAAAAATGAATGGATGTCTTTGGAGGGCTTGTCTCCATACATCTTCCAGGTTCCCTTTATACACCAACCAGGAGGGAGGGAAGATGCGTCGTTACCTGATTGCCAGTCATTCCACACCTGCATCAAGGCTGCGTAATGACAAGGATACTGTTGCCTGGCGCTTTTCCAGCATGACTAATTGTCACTGTACTAATTTAACTTACCTGTGGAATTTTCAACTTCCCCAGCCTGCTGTCAAGAAGATGCATAATAATGGAATAAAGGGATTAAAATGCTGAATGCTATGAAATATTGCACTTATCTTTCCATAGAAAGCTTTCACTAAGCCACGTGTTAGGTGGTTATAATTATTTATTGCTGGGGTAAAAAAACAACAAACAAAAAAACCTGGTCACATTGTACATTTACTTAGTAGAATAATAGGAATGAAGTGAACCAATCTTTTCTGATTTAGAGAAAAAAATACTAATCAGATTACTTAAAACGTGTTTCTTTATCTGCATGGTTTAGAGTGAAAGTACTAGTTCAATGACTACTATGTTCTACATTACAAAACACTTTCTTTTTGTTGTTGTTGTTAGGATATTTAAGAAAATATTCTTCCTATATCACATAGCAATATAAAGGAGTAATTTATTGGATTTTTTAAATATAGAAAAGTGTAGAAAGAAAATCTAAGCACATATGACTTTACTTGCATACTAGTAAACCAATTTGGGGCTTCTTTGCCAAGTAGTCTGGCCCCAGGAATTTTTAAATGGTAGGTTGTATTCTTGAAAATTAATATTTACCATGGAAAATTATTACCCACAAGCATAATAGCTGACTTTTCTGAAAAGCCAGTCAATGGCCCTCACTATACTACCGAGATATGTTTGATGCACCTGTGAGAATTATATAGAAACTGTCATTTTCCAGTTTTAACAAAGAAAAATGTAATTTGACCAGTTTTAATAAATATGCTTGATGGTTTATGATATGAGTAAAATTTAGAGATAAAAGCCAAAGACTTCCTAAAGAAATTTGAATAAAATTGCTTATTTAATTCGTATAGTCTGTTAAATACCGATTTTATAGGTTGTTCAATCGGCTGTCCTATAGTGATATCAGTTCTTGGGAGGAAGAAAAAGTTTTCTGGGCAAGTTTGGGAAATGCTGGATTCAATATGTATGGGCTTATCCTCATCATTGCAAAATATCACTTTAGAAACTTCACTTCAGACACTTCGATATGCTCAGGTGCACTCCAAAGAGGAGGCGGGTGGTCTTTGGCAACCTTATTTGACCTGACGGTCCTATCGCAGTGTAGCTGCAAAACCAAGGTCTGCAGACACGCCTGGCACGGCCCAGGGACTCAGTGCATTCTAGAGAGGTTTCAACATTCTCCACTTTCAACTGAATTCAAATGGTCTGTGATATTCTTTGCCTTAGACTTGTTCATGAGGATAAATATGGAAATAGAGCCAGAAACACAAACTCGTTTCTTCTAACCGTATCTCAGCCCACGTATTCGGAGGTAAAAAGAGCAGTGCAATAATCCACGCTGGTGTGTTGACCTGCAGCAATGCTATTACTTAAAATAGGATTTTTAAGGGATAGAAAAGGAGAAAGGAAACAGCAGCTTCCCACTCGGCACATGCCTTCCATTTAGCATATCTGAAAGACCGACCGTATTCCTCATTTCCAAATTGATAGCCAACTTTTTTTTTGTTGTTTTGCTATTCAAATTTCTGTCCTCTTTTTCCAGCCTATTTGCTCTAACACTGAATTTTAAGCATCTCTAAAAATGCTTGATATGTTATTATTCTTTCCAGATATCCTCTGAGAGCCAAGCAAAGAACATTAAGGAAGAAAAGAGGAATGAGGTTGGATCCAGTGCAGTGAACAAAAGGCACTTCCAGGAGAGGGGGACTCATACCAGAAACTCGGCAGTGCCAGCAGAATGAGAACTTACCGGTACTTCTTTCTGCTCTTTTGGGTTGGCCAGCCCTACCCAACTTTCTCAACTCCTTTATCTAAGAGGACTAGTGGTTTCCCAGCAAAGAAAAGGGCTCTGGAGCTCTCTGGAAACAGCAAAAATGAGCTGAACCGTTCGAAAAGGAGCTGGATGTGGAATCAGTTCTTTCTCCTGGAGGAATACACAGGATCCGATTATCAGTACGTGGGCAAGGTAGGATTCCTTTGGGCACTTTGACTTTCTGGGTTTAAAAGCCTGAAGAAGTTACTTCTAATAAATAGACGGGGAGGTTGCGAACTAGTCCCCAATACAGTAAGCATTGTTCCTTATCTGGTAAGACTTTTTTTTTTTTTTATTTGAGTAGTTTCGGGAGAAAAAAAGACTGTAGCAAGAAGCTGAGAATGTTAGCACTGCAACAAAGAGAGAGAAAATGCTCCAGTTGAAAATGAAACACCCACAGCCATCCGCACGGGATTATCATAAATCCTTTAATTTTTACTTTAGCTTAAAAAAATGTGGTCCAGCTATTCTATAAAGTAGGGTGTATTAAAAATAGGAATAGAGTGATTAAGCCGTAAAGAAAGGAAGGTTTTCTTTTTCTCATTCTGGAAGCAAACATTCTGAGCTATAGTCCTTTGGCCAAGTTCAAATTAACTATTTCTTAACTCTGCCACCTACGGCACCACCCATCCCCTGACCAAAGGGAGCCCTTTGCTGTCAAACCCACCACGGCCTTAGATTTGGTAGTTGCTGCTGCTGCTGCTGCTGCTGCTGCTGCTGTTTAATCTTATCTCAAATAATTGGCAAGAGCCAGGCATTTCAAAATCTTACGATTTATTTATGGCAAGGTTTGCAAAAAAGAAAAATGATTATATAAAGGTGCTATTTCCAAGTATCATCTGACCATTTTATTGACTCCAGAAAGTAAAGTGAGGAGGCATGGCCTATTATAGCCCTGCCAGATTACTGGAGCTGAGTCAGGGAAACAGCTTGGTTAGACTGTCATCATGAGTCTCACTGGAATTTTATCACCAGCTCCATTCTTGTTGCAGAATATCTGCATACCGAAAAGATGTAAAAGAAAAAAACAAGGATACAGTTTTTTGTACTTTGCGGATTCTGTGTTTCATAAGTTGGTGTTGATTAAAAAAAATCATTGTCACACATCCCTTCATAAACAAACTGCGAATGGATGTAAAAATATACATGATAAAATGTCTTCCTTTATGATCACAGCTATGATGTTAAAACATCTATATTAGGATAGCATGCAAATAACATAAATTTTGCAGATTCTAAGGGCCTGCATGTTCACACTTCAGTCTTCGATGAAATATCCCTGAATAACTGTGTGCAAATATTCTCTTTGAGTATTTAGCACCATAAACGAAGGAAAGCCATCCCTGGTTTGAGCTGAGGTAACCAGGCAGTGTTCCAATGAAGTGAATTATTAATGTGGAATAAAGTGGGAGAGGAAGTATTCGGTGAAGGGGTGAGCGTCAACACAGGTCCCCAAGGATCAGCCATGTATTCGCTGGGAAATTCACACGCTCTGTGACTACTGGAGAAAGGCAGTTCCCTTAGTTGTACTTCACTCCATGTCCTTTGTGAGTTTGAATAACACAATGTTAATATGGTGATGATCATTAAAAAAATAATAATCTTAAATTCTTTAAGGCACATTTTACAACACAAACGGCATTATTGTCATATGAAATTAAGTTTTAAGAAGTGCCTTGTCTAAGATGGATCCCTTTTTTCTTCCTGCATTTCTACTCAAATTGTGGTGCCATTTTACATCTGTAATACCACCTATTCTTAAAGAAAGGCCAGGATATTTCAGGATACTCAGAGCAGCAGTGGATAAAACCACATAAGAATCGGTTTTTTTACTAATCTGTTACAGAGTTAGTTTTCTTTCTAAAAAAAGGGGGGGGGGAATAAAAAATATCAATAAAAAAAAAAGAATTGGTTTTACAATTATAATTGTGAAAGGTAATCTTGCCATGGGGGAAAGTTGCAAGCTGTGGACTCGAGGAGATTCGAGAATGCCTCGCTGCGCTACCAGTTGCCAGTTTTGTGACCGAGAGAGGGCAGGTTGTTAACCTTTCTGGGCTTCAGTTCCTTTATCTGGAAAATGCATGCGGCAATGCCTACCTGCTGGCGTTGCAGTGTAGTTTAAGTGAGATAGGTACTAGTGGCTGGCACATAGTAGGTGCATAAAGTTACTATTATTGGTGAAATATCCATTGCATACATTCTGTTAAATTTATGCACAATGCATCAAAGTAGAATATCGATTTTTATGGCACTGCAGAAGTAAAATGAGGTAATTAACAAATCTCTCAGGGGAAAATACAGAGAATAGTGGCACAATCCCTTCACAAGCATGGCTTTGACTAGATCAGTTGGGTTTGGGTATTTTATTGGCAGCTAATAAATTTCCCTACCACACCGTCATGTGCCTTCCCTGATGCCCACCCTTCTCCTCTTTGAATTGAAACACGTGAGAGAATATTAGCTGGAGGAAAAATCAAGGGCAAAAAGTTGTCATCATTGTCAGCATTGCTATTTCGTGTAAGAGGTGTTCTTGAACTGTTGATATGGCATTTTCCCAAATCCATCCTTGAAGTTATAGGATATCAATAGACAAGAGAATTAAACTGTCGTGTGTTTTCTTAACACAATTAAAAATAGAAAAAAATAAAAATAAATTTTTAAAAAAGAAGAAAGAAATGGAGGGGTTGTCCCTCATTTGTGGCCACAACTTGGTCCATGTTTAATTGACTTGGAATAAAGCAGACACCAGATATGATTGTCCAGATCCACTAGGTCAGGAAACTTTGGGGCAAGAAAAAGAAAAATGATTAGACTAGAGCAGAGGTTCCAAAACTTTCTTGGTTCACAGAGCTCTTTTTCACAGTAGCCTTAAGCTGAAAGAAATACCTAACAGTTCCATGAATTAAGTAGCTAGGCTCAAACAACCTAGTAAGTATTTCTCTACTAACAAATTGGTAACGACTTGAAAAAATAATACACATAAATTGACAAAAAGAAAGTAATATTTTTACTTCATTCTTGACCACATTTCCTTCCAATGATACTGTGTGTCTCTTGGACACTGCACAACTTCTCAATCAGATTGCACACACCCCCCTTGTTTCCTTTTCCACACTGATTTTTGCACTGTAACTGCTTTTTTATCACAGCCACTGTAGAAAACCCAGGTTTAGAAATGTATGACATCATCAAAAGGAATGCAGTGCCACCTACTGTTGATACTGTGAACTACCTTGAGCTAGTAATTTGCAAGGTGTCTGAGAGAGGTCACATGTAGCTATATTTCCCTCCAAATTTTAAAAGATTTCCTAGTGAGTTCTTTGCTGCACCTCAGGCTGCCTAGGCTCACGCTCTGGGAACCATAGGATATATAAAGGTCTAGAAAAGCTAATAAAACTTTTAACCATGCTATTAGCCCAACTAAATTAAAATTACTCAGATCCTATCCTGAGTGCTTAAAATTGAAAAGATTGATCTGTACGTGGAAGGATGGAAGGATTAACTGAGGCAAAATAATGCTGTTGAGCAAATAGCACTTAAAGTAGAAAAAAAGAAATTTTTCCATTGCAAACATTTGTGTATATTTGTGTTGATTTGTTCAAATTACTATGGGGTAAATCATACGGACCGCAGTGACTTGAATTGGATGGAGTGAGGGAAATGTGAGAATGGGTGTAGGAAACAAAGGATTTTCAGGTGTAGATGGGAGGAAAAAGGGAGGGTCGAATGAGGTCACCCAGCAAAAGAGGGAATCCAGGGGCTGGAACTGCAATGAAGCAAATAGACAAGATCATATTTTAATAAAGCACAAGCAATGAGACCTTCCTCCTCCATCTTCATGTTGCTCAGCCCTCCCCTGTGTTCTTTTGCCAGAGATATTGATGCAGAAACACCAGCAAGGGAGGGCTGGGGAGGGATATGCCCACTGAGACTAAAAGTGGCAAAGGCCAATTACAGCTGAAATATTGAAAAACCAAATTCTGATTTGTGAGAAAACCTCAACACTTCTACTCAAGTGGTCCTGTATTGGGTAAGAGTTTGTGAGCTTAAAATATGCAAACAGATAGGATATGATTTTTTTTTCTAAAATGCATGACCATTTGGGGGCAACTTTGAACTGCTTTAGCCTGAGAGCTTGTTTAGAAATGCAGAATCTCAGGCCCTGCCTCTGATCTTCTTGAATCAGAATCTGCATTTTAACAAGATTCCCAGGCAAACTGTATGCACATTAAAATCTGAGAAGTGCTGCTTTTAAAAATACCTTGCCTGGGTCTCACCTCCCCAGAGATTCTGATTTAGTTGGTTATTAATTATTTATGATTCAAACATGATGCCAAACTCGAGAACCACTGTCCTTGGATATTATTGCCAATCATGATAACACAATGTGGCAAGTTCAATGATAAAACAGGCATCCACAAAGTATTATCAAAATATAAAGGAGAGGGGCCAACAAGGCTTTGGGATTGAGCAGAGCTTCCTGGATTTTTGAACCCCCCATCTCAAAGGCAGAGCAAGTGTTAGCTGATACTGCAGAGGGAGAATTGCCAGGACCTCTCAATTAATAGGATGCAGAAACCAAAGGAGAGAAGGCCAGAGGTTCAAAGAGTCAGAGATTTAAAGATTGAACAACCAGGAGAGTGAAAGGGTCCTCACATTGACACAGAAAACACAAAGAGGTACATATTTTCTTGTCAGGGGGTCAAGGAAAGAGCATTTGATTTTTGTACAAAATCCAGTTGGGTGATCTTTGTCTTATGTAAATTTAATAGAAAAATGGAGGGAAGCATTGTAATTCCCTATTTTCGGAAATCCCCATATCCCTCGAGCCAGCTTTACATAATGTAGCAATTTCTTGACGGTGATGGGTATGTAGTCTAATATTACTTTCCATAAGAAAAGAAGAGCAAAGGTAGATGTAGATACAGATTAGATTTTAAAGACGTGGGCATTCGCTAATACAAAGATGAATTCATTTTAAATCTTAAAATTATGCCTAACTTTAGGCAAAAGATTCACACATTATCATTAAGCAGCCCACGGCAATGCCTAATTCCCATCTCCTTTGTTTTATCCTCCATAGTGTTCTTTCTCTCCTCCTTCCACACACAGTGTAGCCAAGACCAACCTCCACTAGAACCACTTGAGATGCT